GGTCGCTAAGCCCAAGCCGGCCTCCGACTGATCCTGGGCTCCGTAGCCTCAGTGAGCAGAGCCACTTACCTGCAGCACTCAGTTGGGCGCATAAGCCTAAAAAGAATGAGGTTTAAAATTATCTATTTTCTTCCCCTATCACCTATCTGCCAAGCGCAGTATCGCACTCTGTTTGCCATCTTCCGAATCACCAACACACAGTATTAAGCCTCCCCTTGGAAACAGCTCAGGCAATTCTGGATTCCAGAGATGAGGACCCTAAAAACCACGTTCTCATTTAACTGCCTTGTATCAACTGCCTTATAGGAACGCAAGATATTTTATTCATAATATATTTCAGCTACCTTTAACAGGGTATAGCTTGTCAAACTGAAAGAAGTCACACTAAATAGGTTTAATCATATTGGGGTTTTTTATTTAGGTCATCTACTTGGCTTTTTTTACTGTAGTGGACATCTGTAGCCCAAATTTTGAAACTGTTTAAAGATGCAAGTCATCGAGCCAGTGTGTGGAACACAAAGACTATGTCTGTTACCTGATGTACACAACATTTTGGTAATTAAACATGATTTCTTCCAAACATTCACACAGATTTTTCTTAGATGATATTGCCATGGTCCAGAGAGCTGAAGTACCTTAAATAAGTGGCACCATCGACACCTTGCTCTTCTATGCTTGGCCAGCTTGGCTCTGCTATGGCTGACTGGTACCAAACAAGTTAATAGGCCAAACAGGACTCCAGCTGATGCAGTGGATTTGCTGTGTACGCCAGCCAACTACCTGTTCTGGTACCTAGAGCTGGAGGGAGTGCAGATAATGGGCAGCCAAGTGACTGTGCAGCAGTTCAGCTCCAGCCCTGAGAGGCAGATGAACTCCAGCAAAGCACCCGTCATACCAGTCCCTGGCTGGTCATGTTCGGCTCCTTAAAATGGACACCAATAAATGGTGCATAAACCCCAAACTTCTGCCAGACAATATGCAGCAACATTTCCTTTTAGTGCAATTTAAGCAAGTAAAAACAAGTAATCCAGAGCTGTCTCTGGAGGCTGTACAGCTGCATTTGCATACAATCACATGTGGGTTTAATGAGACTCCCAAGACTGGGCAAGACCTTTATTCATTCTTGTAGGTATTCACATCTATTGCATGGCTAATCTGCAAAAGGCCTCATCCAACCACAGTGACTGTGAGTTGAGCATAGCAATTTGCTTGCTGCCTCAGAATCAAAATACCATCAGTAAAAAAAATAACCTCCAACTCTTGGCAGAACCTGATAACAAAGTATTCTCACCAAGAATGCAGAAAGAGTTATTTATTGGCTTCAAATAATTTGCTGGGTCTTGAAAGGCTGTCTCGCTGCTGCAATTTCTTGCCTAAGGCAACACCATAAGCTTGACTTTGAAAAGCTGTTGCCCTAAATAGCAAATATCAGGCAGCTCTGAAATATCCAGAGTACAAGAATCATCAGAGTGTAGCTTAATTCTGCCTAAGTGAGATCTTTCAAGTGATTCTGAATGAGAAACTCTGATGACCTCACCACGGTTGTCTCAGATGTGCAAAGGAATCCAGCCCCCAGACTTCATTAGCATCCTTGTGAGCTGTTACTATCTCCTAGCAGTGTTTCAGAAACATACTCCATTTCCTTGGGAGGTGACAGTACCAAAACACATGTTGATGAGCAGCAGAGTAAAAAGGGAATCTAAAAATTCCCCATGACTCCCCACACAATAGCCAGATTTTTCTAATTTTAGAATAACATAGTAAAACCAGGATGAAGTTAATCTTGTAGTTTAGCCCCGCCCCACTGCTTTTTATTACCAAATTTTTAAAAAATTAAAAAATAATCAAGAAATCTGCAGACGATCATATAAGCAATGAAGTGACATTTCCCAAAACAGTTTACAAGATATTCAAGTTTTAGCAATTTAAAAAAAAAAAAGACACTTTGGAAAAGAAAATTGCAAAACATCTTTTGTTCCTATACCTGTGCTTTCTTACGAGGTATTTGCAGTGTCTTAGCAGGTATTCCTTTGAAGGTCGACAAAGCTTCAGAGACCAGAAGTCATCTAATCTCATCTTTGGAGAGCAGGACTTACCAGGATTCCCTCCAAATAAGTAATGAACCTAAGCAAATGAGAGGCAGATCAAAAAGTTGATTGTTTGTGTACATCCATTAAACAAAGACTATTTACTACGTCAGCATCTTTGGAAAGGTTTATTCTGGAGGGAGAAAATGCTGCCGTTTGGATAAGCTGCTCCATCTTATTATTAGCCTTACTTTGCCCCCCAGGAGCAATGTAAACTGCTTACATTAAGACAATAAAAAAAGCTGCACTGCTAGAACCTCCCTCTAGCAGATTCCTGAGATATTTATAAACAAACATGCACAAACCATGCGATCTCTTTCTTTAGGAAAAACCTGTAATCCTTAAGCACATAAGATACGAGCAGAAGAGAAGGATCTGAGCCAACTCTTGTTGCCCTGTTCAAAATACTTGATGCAAACAATACTCCAACTGGTGGATTACCAACCTCTCCTCCAATTTTGTCCTCAAAGACTCCAAATTCTCGTTGTCATGACAGAGGCTAAATTAAGGCACCTGTACTAAGCCCTTCACTAATTTGTGGATGAGCAGATTATACACATATAATTGTCAGATGACTCCAGCAATCACAGATTTTCTTTGAAGACAAAACATTTATGCTTTATAAGGAAGACTCAGGAAAAAGGGACTTTGTAGACTAATGCTCTGGCTCCAGTCAGGGCTCCGTTGGTGAAGCTGCACTACTAAAGCACCACAATTCAGACAAGCAGCCTTTTCCTTGAGTCAGCGAAGACCATTATCTTCCCCAAAGACAAGGGCCGCTGGCAAAGTGAGTAGGAAGTCTTAAAGATGCTCAAAGTGAAAACAAGCCCAGTCTAGCGTAATCTTGGGAGATGACTAACAGGCCTGTGTCCCCACATGTCCCGTAAACTCTACAGAGCCTTAATTTGACTTGCAGAGAAAAGTATTTCCGAGGTCTCTGGAAGGGCAGATTTGTCTCACCTCAATACAGCAGCCTAGCTGCAAGACACTCAATACACTACCTGGGCACAAAGGAAAGAGCTAACTGAATAAAGAGTAAAACAAAAAGCCAAAACTGTAATCCTAAGAAGAACTGAGGAGGAAAACACCAATCTTATCTAGAATCAGAAGTCACAACCATTACTGTGATTGACTTCAAAAAACCAAAGTTCTAGCAATCCTGAGATGCCAATCACGGAAATACTAAATATATCTGTATGCAAAATTCATTTTTTTGTTCAACGTAGCTCAAATGAAGTAGTCTTTAACGGCCATTCTGATAACTGCAAGATAAAACACTTTTGAAATGCAAGGCTAGAGTTACAGAGAGGCAAATCTCAAGAAAAGTGGAAGTGTTGAAAAAGCACTGTTTATTTCTTCACTTCTTTTTTCTTCGCATCGTTTGGCATTTCAGACTCTGAACTGTTGATATTAAACATGTCACAAAGGATCTTAAAATACTGAGGTTCAAGAAGTCCAACAGGCTACCTTTCTCCACAGCTTTAAAAATAATCACTCAAAACAATGTATTCTGCATCCCACTGATGTAGGCTCTCCTTATTTATATCAGAGGAGTTTAGAAAGGTTATTTGAACAGAGGTTTCTAAAAATAAGACTCTTCAAAACAAGTACATCAAACAGCTCTTCAGATAAAGCCGGGCAACTGCCATGATTAGCAACCTTCACAGTAACTTATAAAATACTACTCTCAATCTCATGGTACCTTATACTGAGAAGTAAGCCATGAAAGGCAGAACAGTATTTACCGTCCAACATTAATGTCCGTGATGAAGACAAACCAAACAAGTTCTCCATACAGAAGTTACACCTATTCATCCTTAAATCCCCCTTATCCCCAAACTTTTGGGCTAGTTGGGTTTCCCAAATTTGATTAACATCCCATGGAATGATAAGACTAAAGTATATTTGTCTTTTTCAGCTCAGACTGTTTCAGACTGAAAAAGAAAATTAGAAAAAAGTTTATTTTAATTGCAAAATATCCATGAAAAGTTAGCTAAGTGTCTCACAGCAATTTAAATTCATAGGTTAATGAAGTTATGGTAACCTAACCCGTGGGTTTGCGCTTTATTGGTTAATATGCACAAAGCCCTAAGTTTAGTGAGCAGTCATGTACGCTACAAACAACTTTAAGTACATTTAAGCATGAACATGTCCATTAAAGTCAGATAGTACTAAAGAATGATAGCTGCGTCTGACATGCAGGACAAAGTAAGGCACCTCTGTTAGAGCATATTCTTAACAGTGATTAGTTCATTCAAACACACTTTCTCCTAGAAATGTTGGTAACTATCTGTGACCATTTAGTCACTAACAGGTTGTGAGATTAAGTCCCTGAAGATAATGAACAAAGCTTCAAGTGTTCTCAAGGTCAAGAACAGCTAGCAACTGTACAACTTTAATATACCCCATTGTCTGCATTTTGATTTCATCCAGGAGCTATCATGTCTACTTCACATTGACATAAAAAGTATGATAATAAGTTAAATGAAAAGTTACCCACCACATTAACTCAAACATTAACACTATACAAAAAGCTATATTCATTGTACCATCTTTGAAGAAGCAACTATACCAGAAGAGCAATAAGACTAAAAAAATCACCATATATGTATCTGGACCCTCATACCTTGTGCAACTCATCGTATACCAGTTGATGAGCAAACCTTGGACAGGGCTCCTCCTCCTGAAGGCTTTTACCTGGATTCTCTTTTGCTGCTTGGTCATTCTTGTAGACACAAGACCTGAAATACAAGGCAGTAAGTAATGGTTAGTAGTACCTACAGGAAGTTCGAAAAGTTACTGAAAGGCTATAAGGTACAAATGATGTCAATTTGAACTGCTTGGCATATAACACCAAAGATTTTCTTACTTCTCTATATATTGTTCTCTATATTCCCATCCTTAGCTCTCCAAAGAAACCCATCCAACAATCAGAGAAGGTCATCTTGGTTGAACACAGTCCTCAATCACAAACAAAACAGGAAAAAATTCTAGAAAATTTTATGTCATGAGCTTTGGAGGTATCTTTAGATGTTGCTTTATTGGCTAGCAGAATTGTCAGCTTGAAGTATTTTTCGTTATGGAGAATACCATCTTGGACACAGCAGAGCTATAGACCAGAAACTTCAGCAAAGCTAACATTTGAATCACTGATTTCCAAGCAGACTTAAGTTGTTTTTTCCAACTGAAATCCCATTTTTAAAAAACAGCATTCACACCCTTCAAAGTGATTGGCCCCACATTAGAAGAGACCTTGAACACAAAAACGCTGCCAGCTCTGGAAAGGGGCAGTGGCAACCAACTACCAAATACCATACAGCAAATAGACGAGGAGATATTTTCTCAGAATACTGGCTCTAGCAGCTACCCGAAGTACCACTCCACGCAGCCTGGAAAGAGCTGATAGATCTAGCATGAATCTTCTCCATCACCGTTCATACAGCAGACCAGTTTCCTTGGTGTCTAATAACTAGTACCATGTATGCTGCTACTAACAACTTACATTTGACTGAATTTGCTGCACTGATAATGAATCCTGGCTTTGAACACTTGCTACAGGAAAAACTTCTTATAATGGCTTACTTCCCCTCATCCCCTCCACCTGCCTCCAGTAAAGAAGTTCACATGATTTCTCTCCCTCATTTGGCTTATTGCCACGGTGTCTCTAAAGACTATGGGAAGAAGAGGTGTCTCAAGGGAACTCAGTTGTCTTCAACACTACCATTCCACGTTTATAAGAGGTTATAGAGTTACCTGGGAGACAGGATCGTGTAGGATTGCTTTCTAAAGAAAGTCAGTGTAGATGTTAGAAATAGCACCCCTTTCATCAACTTACCAGCTGTTCCTCACAATGTCATAAATCCAGAAGGAATTCCTTACATTCTCTTCCCGCTTCTCCTTGTCTTTGCTGAGCCCTGACAAGACATGGATTTCATTCAGTTCTGGATCAATGGTAGCTCTTTGAGTGAAACCTGTCATTGGAACTGACAAAAAAAAGAAAGTTACACAGAGGATACAGGAAGGCATCCAAGCATCAGATAAACGCACTTCCCTCCCCCTGCATTTCAGCAGATTTTCTAATATCCATGGTACAAGCATGAGATTTCACATAACCACCTCTTCAGTATTCTGGGATAAAGAGCATCTTAAGTTTAACATCACTACCTAGCTTGACCATTTTCTTCCTTTTAATTTTCTTCCTTTTAATTTTAACTTTCACCTCTTCATTTTTCCATATAAAACCAAAACTTGGGACTGAGTGATTCCAAGCTGGTATTTTCTATGACCTCTCCTCCACAGCGATCTCGTTATTTACCACAACTTAAAACGGCACATCTCAAAATAGGAGGCGTGCAGAAGTCACCAAGCAAACAATTGGCTTCTTGCGCATGCCCTCCAAAGCAGGGTGAGAGGGAGGAGGAGAAGAAACATCGCCCAGAGGCTGACTCCTTCCCTGCTAAGGACAAGTCCAATGCAAATTCTCTTCTTCCCTTCCTATTTGTGACTCCTGGAAAGCACAAAAACCATTCTGAGAGCCACTCTTAATAGGGAAAGGCATGGGCAGAGCTATTTGGGAGACTACCAGGCTTACAAATGAGTATTAAACTGCCTGAAGATAGTGCTAGATGATCCTTGTAGATATGAAAGGAGTGATTTTGTTACTATCTCATCCGTAAAAGGAAGCACTGAATCCAGAAAGCTTAACTCCAAAAGCTGGGAAACGCAAAAAAATTCAAGATGAACTCAAGATTACATAGCTCACAACCTTGCATTGCTTCCTTTAGGACAAAGATGTCAAGAAAGTTTTTTGTATTTTCTGAATAATTGTGGTATAATTAACAAGCTATTCTTCTGTTCCACCTTCAGATTTAGAAATATGGTGAAATACTGCAGATTCCAGCAGTTTTCATCATAATTCCCCGAAAAAAGGTCAGCAAATTTGTTTGGCAGTCCTTTTTGTTTGTTGTATAATTCCCCATTTCCTGTTTCCCTAGGCAACCATCCTTCCAAAATGTATTTGTGAAGAGCACGTGATCTTTGTTTACAGATCCTGTTTGTCTCATTTCTCTTTCTGGGTCAGTTTACAAAGGCTGGTAAAGGTTCCTGGCCTTCGATCAAGATTTTGGCATGAAAAATTCTCAGAACTCTTGTATTTTGCAAATTCTTCCCTGCAATTAACTGTGAACTGCACACATGGCCTAGAAAACAAGCCCTACGCTAATAAACCGTTTAATATTGCTGTTTAAGAACACACAAAACGGTATTTTGCAAGCCCATTCTGTAATAGGTTTCGGTCTCGTACTTCAGTCTTCTTGTTTGGTACGCCAGGAAAGTAATAAATATCAATTAAAAAATTCTGAGCAGCATTTAGTTGTCTACAGTGTAAGCCCCCACCAAAATGTTTAGCAAAACCAAAAACCCCAAATATTTATTTAAAAAAAAAAAGCTTAATTCTTACATAAACTTAAGTAGAAACTGAAATATATTCAGATAATTCAGAGTCCTGTCAACAAAATCCTTGCCTATGGTTTTACATAAAAGCAGGAGGCAGAGCCTTGGAGCACTTGTCAGCATAAGCCTGCCTATTTTGACCTCCAGTTTTGCCACAAAGTTTCAAATGAAAATTCATCCAGTTTATAAGCAAATGGGTGGCAGAGCAGAGGGAAAAAAAGCAGGGAACAATGCTGGCACAACAACAACAACAACTACATACCTTGTCTTAGCTGCAAACCACAAGGAAATTTTAAAACAAGACTAATGAGTACTGTGAAAGTCACCCAATAAGGAAATTGAGAACAAAAAGACAATTATAGACTAAATATCACTAATTTTTGGAAATTATCATGTAATATGTTTGCTTGCATAGTCAGGGACTGAATCATTGACCCAAAAGGATTAAATTCAAGGCATATTTGAGACATTTCTGGCAGGAAAGCTGTCTAAATTTGATCAGCAATGCTAATGTACGTGGCAAATGTCTTTGCAACCTTATCTGCTGCTTTGAACATTCGAGACCATGCCGGGTTTTTAGAAAAAAGCATGCAAATCTTCAGAGCATTAATACCTCCGGCTCATTGAAATGAAAATTATTATAATCATGAGGAATATGGTTGCTATATTACCATTGATACAGAAAACATATGAAACTTGTCCCATTCCTCCTCCTGACATGTTGTTAAATAAATGAATTTTGTATGTAGTTTACGCTCGATTTCCTGAAGCTGAAATTATTATTTAAATAATGAAGGAGAGAAAAGCTGCCAAAGTTCAGTGCCTCTGTTTTTTTACTCTTGATGGTAAGAATAGGATTTATCTGCAGCAACTGCAATCAAAAGCAAGTTCAAGTCAAGTAATTTCAGGCTTCCCTCAGTGGTACATCAATCTCTTCTTGAGACTGTCTGAAATGCAGAATGCCTAGAAAAATAATATATCCAAAACCATATATCCCTACGTTTAATAGGGGCCTAAGATGAGGAGCAACGTACATAACCTCTTTGACTTATCTAAGCAACTGTGTAGAAACCATATTTAAGTAGTGCCTTTGGCTAAACAAAGTTGACACCTAGTCTTTTGCAGAGGAAGACCTACATATAGTATGATTAAAAAACACAAGACAACACAAATTTGGTAAACAAGTCCCTGAAAATAAAACAATGAGGAAATAAGGCAAGTTACTACACAGCAAGAGGGAAATGCTGTGATATTTTAAACAAGACAGAAGTGTCAAAAAGATGTTTACCAAGGAAGTCTGATCCTTGACAGAGCAAAAGGGCTACGTAAAATCCTCACGACTGACAAGCACTGCCACTAGGGGGTAAGAGAGTTTCATAATCTGCAAGTGCAGTGGACTTGCAGCAACTGCTGGATATAATTCACATGATTGCGGTCAGCATATTAGAGAGGGACACTGGCTGTAAACTTGTGAAAAGTACCTGTGATATTTAGCTAATAAAACATACGTTGGGAAGGAAATTTAATTCTCCATGGGAGACAAAATTGAACCTGTGACAGTAACTGATTGCTTAGGATGTATTTTTTTAAATTTTAAGACTCAGAGTAAGAAATCATAAACAAGAGGTGAGAATCAGACACAGTAACGCTAGCACACTGCAAGAACTATTATTTGCAATGTACTAGATCCAAGGGGTGCATGAAGTGGTAAGAATGGCTCCATGGAAGTCCCCTCGCTCTTCTGCTTCTTCGCATAAATGTAGATGTAAATCAGCTTTGGAGCAAATCTCCACCGACTTCACACCGTTCAGAGTGCCTCTCAGGCCCGGCGATCACTCGGGTCAGCTGCGGGCAGACAGCTCGAAGGACATAAAGCAGCGACTGAGGAGTTAGCCCTGGTTGTTTTGAACGCAGCACTGGCCTGTCGCTATGTGATATTAACTTGGCTCCTATGACAACACATTACTGATTGAAGAGGAAAAGCTGTACAGAGAAATTACTAAACACAATACAATCCCAAAAAGTCTAGTAGATGGTGAATGCTTTTCTTGTGCTACTGCGTTTTTTTTCCCCATAATCTCATTAACCAGTCCAGGGTAGAAGGGCAGTAACTAATTGAAAATGAGAGGTCTGAATCCTCTCTCCAGAACTTAACATTTTAATTTATTTTTATATAGCAAAAATGAAAAGCTCATGGCCTCAATATCTGAAAACAATATTCAGCCACACAGGCCTTGAGTTAGGAGGCAGTTACATAAACAAACAGCAATTCCTGAGAAAGTGTCGATAAGATGCTGTGTAACCCTGTACAATATAATTTCCATTTAAATATAATGTATGGGAAAAGCTTTTCTACAAAAGTGACACCTAATCATGAAACAGATATGTTCCCACTATCACAGTCCCTACTTAACAGGCATTTCTTTGATCATAGTGATCATTTTAGCAAGCTGAATATTTTTTGGCTTCTATGTGCAAACAGCTACAGTTGTTTCAAGCGCAATGTTGGCTGCTGGCAGTATCTAAGCAAGAAAACAGAACTTATACACAAGGCAGAGTTTGCAAAGCAGTAAATTGGGAGTTCACAGATGTGGTTCTCATAGTACTAGACAGAAGTTTGAAAATTAAATCTCATCTCTCTCATTTGAGGCGATACTATAGCATGTTTTTAAATATGTTTTGAAACAAAGGATTAGCAAAACAGTGATGAAACTTGTAGTCTGCAGACCACTTCTGAAGGATTCATGAAGGATAATTAAGGGAAGCAAGTTCGTTAACAACCTTTTAGTGCCACCTAAGTTACGAAACCCTCAGAACACGTTACTGCTAATTCCACTACAAGTGACTTGCAAGTACCCTCCCTCCTTGTGATGCCTCATGATTAAAAAATAGGAAAAAGCTACATCACATGGATATTGCTGTTCACCAGAACCTGGCACCTCCCTGATGGATTAATTTAAAAAAAAGTGGTAGGTCAGCAAGTTACTCCATACCACTACTTGTAATCCACATAAAACTGAAGCAGCACTTCCCCTGAACTTTAATGGAGCAAACCTTGATGAGCGATAGAGATAGCATGCAGGCCAGCTGTTGACACAGCAAGATAATGATTATCCTCTTGGATTTTTCACGATGAGACTGCGTTTGGCAGTCAGCCAAGGAGCAACTAAGGAGACCACTTGAACAGTTTGGTTGTCATGTTGAAAAAGCAACAACGCGATGTCCAACGCTCAGTTCTCTCCCAAGCAACGTGAGATTTTGGAAAAAACAGGTCAGTTAGTACATTTGAATGGAATTCTGCTGCTATGACACCTCTGTAAAGCATCCTTAGGATTTGGTGACTGCCTGCTCTCCTCCTCAGCTTCACAGCAGGAGGAAAGTATTTTGAGATTGGTTCAGAGAAGCACCTCACAAGATGAAGAGCACATAAGGTCCCTCACAAAACAAAGTGATTCCATGGCAAGAGACAGGCTGGCCACTGGCAAGGTAGACTTTAAACTGAACAAGGGCAAAACATGTCAGGTGTCACAAACAGATGATCAAAATAGGATACTCAGACTGCTTGTCTGAGTTGGATCCTGGCCATGTTGGGCTAGCTGTGCTTTCTATTTTGATTATTGTTTTTCTGACATCGTCTTGTTTTAAATCAGGATTTCCAGGACTGGGCTGTGTCGCCTCTGTCCGTGGTACTTATCCATGAAACCTCCCGTCTGTCAGGTGCACAGTTCTGTATCTGGAATGAGCACCTGCCCCAGCAAGAGACCTGGGAACTTCACTGGTAACTCAAAAAATATTTGCAGTTTACCCGTAAGGACTACTTCACCACGAAAAGGAGCCACAAGAGCATTTAAGGTTTGTTCTCATTTGACTTTGGAAGTTACTCAATGCCAAGGGATATCAGATGATCTTGATTCTCTTGCAGAAGGAAATTCTCCCTTTGATCAACAGCTCTGACGCACCACCTGAGTCAGGACCAAAAAGAATTATCATAGGAACCTTGACCACAAGTGTTCCCATTAGCTCCCCTAGACATGAAATGACTTGTCCATGATTAGTCATGGATTGTGTGCTAAGCAAGGCAGGCAAGCTGTCAGTATAGCCTTTTGAAGACATCCGATATTGGTGGCATCTCTAGACCACGTGTACACTTCAGAGACACACTGTGACATACGCATGTTGGGTTCGGGGTTTTTTTTTGTGTGGTTTGTGTGTTGTTGTTTTTATAAAAGTAATTAAAAGTATACGGCTGCTCTAAAAGGGTATGTCCATCAACATATACATTTCTGCCTCTCCTCCAACCACAGGCTTTATTCAACTGTACTACACTTCCTCCAATTTGTGCCACCACTGCCTTTCTTCGTGTCCAACTCACTATCACAGTTGCATTCTCTTTTTCTCAGTCCCGTTTTGTCCATTCTCCAGCAGAACAAACAAATTTCTTGCTCCTAACAGTTATCATGCAGCAGAAAGATAACCATCCCTAATGGCCTAATTTCGCTGTAGTGCCCTCCTTTGACAGCAAAGGGAAAGCACCAGGTTTTTTGATGCAACGAGCTGGAGAAAGCACCCATGTTCACTGGCAAATGGCATTTACCAGACATGAGCTGCAAGGCTTACCCATGTTCAAAGCAGATCGAGTCAGGAGACATTTTTAGTAGGCAAACGTGTGTGCAAACCCATCTTTTAGAAATTGCACCTTGATCAAATCTGAACTTTTCCCAGGAACGGAAAAAGCACATCTAAACTTGCTACAATTATTATCCTTTACTCCAAATTAAGAAAACTTAAGTGATATTTATTACACAATATTCTCTCAAACTCATCACCTAAACAAGGAACTGGTTCCAGGATCAACATCAAAAGCAGAACTAAGAGCAAAGAAACACTATACAGCATAAACATCTCATCCAGAAGATGAGAGCAGCAAAACCAACATATTATTACCATAGTTTTCTAGCATTGCAACAACTCCGTATTACTGATAATCCTTAACTACCCATTTTACTATTTTTTTTAAAGTCTTCTCACTACTCTAATGGAAATTTTAAACAAATGCACAATTAAGTTCTTTTAGAAAGGGTAAAAATCAAAATAGCTCAACTAAGAATAGAACTGAATGCCACATGCGAGCCAGGAACAAAATGTAATCATGAGACTTTATAGGAACATTTAGGTCAGGCATCCTCAACTTGACTCATCACACCGAGCATCTTAAAACTTCATAGCGACCAGTCAGGGAATCACTTTGTTCATACAGCTCAAAATGGTGCATCACTACCTAACAAGAGCACAATAAAGACTTGCTTTTTTGAGTGAAAATAGTGCTGTCAGCATTTGCTGTCTGAATGTAACAGACATTTTGTTCTTTTCCTGTTAAAATGCAAATAATCCTAGCATTTTCTTTCAAAAGCAAGGGGAATGTTCAAATCTGTTTGTTTACTTTCTACACACAGGAGAACAGTAAACTGAAAATCTACTCGTGAATTATTTCCAATGAGTCATTTTCTTACAAAGTCTACTATTCACCAGTTCGGGGCCTGTGGGAATGGGGAGGAGGGCTAAATATTATAGTCTCATTTGCTTAACCGAACCTTGCAGTTAATGTACTTGCTGAGAAGCAGAGCTCAGCGTCTTCTCCAGCCATAAGGCAAGCTCGGTATCTTTAAATCTGAAGTAGACACAGGTGTCAGCTTAAAGCCACATATTTTAAAGCTTCTGGCTATACAGAAACGTAGTTTTAAAAACACAAAATGGCAGAATGCTAGCAATTTCACGGGAAAAAAAAAAATCAATTCTTTAAAAGCTTTAAGGACAACAAATGGTGCGTAGGTGTGCGTAGAGCAGCATCAGGCAACAATACAGGTACCTTAATAAAGGAGATTGTCAACAGTACAAGCTAGTTCCTTCTTGGAAGCACTCAAGCAAATAAATGAGTCCAGAGAATAAGAGCTTGGGTACTCTTCTCCCTCGTTGGCATAACTAAATTAATGAGCAAACAATAACTCATAACCATCAATAATTCACTTCGAAAGTTCAGCAAAACTACTTGCTAAAAATTCAGCCTGATCAAAACAAGGAGGGCAGCCTAAATTCAAGATAAATTCGCTTCTTAGGATTTTGGTAACTGGAAGAAGAGAAAACAAGATTGGGACTAAACATACATAATATGAGAAATATTCATAACTTCTCTCCTATAGTAGTACACACTGCAACACAAATTTCCACTTCTGATCTGTATGCTGAAAATCAGGATATTTGGAACACAGGAAAATGATGTGCTTATACATACAGAAATCCTTTTTGGAAAAAAAGAACTTTCTCCTCCATGTCATTTGAGGAGAAGAGGTATAAAATCAGTTCTTTATGGTTGTGTTACAATGCCTTTTGGGTGTTTTTGAAGGTTTTTGGTATACAGAACTATGCCTGGTGTATATAGCTCCAGTGGTATGAACCAGACAGGACTGAAGTCTTGCTCCCTCCTACTACCTTTTTTTGCCGCTCCCTGACAATTTAGTACAAGGATAACAGGACAACAGGTCTCATCTTTCTAGTCAGCTCCTGCCAGGCAAAATAACCTCTGTCCCTCTACTCAATTCTCTGTCTCTGAGCATCCTACCTGCCTTTCTGCATCTCAAACCAAACAGATTATTTCTACTTTATGCCATCTTTCACTTGTTGAAAACGAGAAAAAAAAAAACCAGCTGCTTTCTCCTTTCCTGGTTTCAAGAAAATTATTTTTTCAGCCTTTTTTTTTTTTGGTCTTTGCTGGAGTTTCAACGGAGATATTTTTAGTTCTTATTTTGCTGAATTTTTTTTCTTTTGAGGTGCTATATGGTTTCATGCATCAATTATTTGTATTGTGCTGAAGATGGTGAGTGTCAAATGACAGGAAGGACAAAAGAGCTGGCATAAGTTTAACCTATATACTGTGTGTTTACTTGGGTACGTAGGGCTAGTTAAAGATGCTAACCTGATACCACAGGACACTGAAGCTGGCCTTTCACCTACTTAAAAATACATTTCTCATTTGTACCAAGGGGGAAAAAATTACTATGTAGTTACACTCTTACCCATCCCTGAATCTTTCTTAGTGCCGTCTGATATGATATCCACATGATCGCTGTCTACATCATAACTGAAGAAGTCATTCAAATAAGTCTTCGATCTCTGGCCACCAAATACGTATAAGCAGCGATTTTTCTGGAATGGAAAAAAACACCTACGTCTTTACCAAGCTCAAGAAAGTATGTCGGCCAACTGTGACCATGAACAAAAACATGAATGAATCAAAGAGTAATAGATATGTTTCTTCTAAGTTTAAAATCACGCCATAACTACCAGGTCCACCAATCTTTATTTGGTAAGTATCTTACCTCCATATCCGCTAAGATTCACAGGGAACAATTATGCAGAACAGTTTATTATTCTCAAACTCAGTAAGAACTTGAGAATTCTTGATTGGTTTCTTGATCTTCTTGATTCTTGAATTCATGATTTCTCAGTTTCAAGAGCTAAACCATTAAGGGCTCACAGCTTCTCCACCCCAAAAAGCCTCTTACAAACGCAATTTTAAAGACCCCTTTTTCATGATCATGGTAATGAGACCACAAACCTGGATCCAACACAGAGTTTCATCTCGAGAGTGACCAGGCAGATTTTACATAGTTAACTACTGTAGCCTTGGCTGATCAAGCTATAACTTCAGAACATTAAAACAGCAATTCATTTTTTCAAGTTTAATATTAAAGAATTAACAGTCTCCATGTCTAAAACCCATTAGATCATAACTTTGCTGTTAAAAAAACCCCACAGGAACAAAAGATGGACTGTAAGAGAAACCATCCAGGTACCAGCACATTACTAAACTCAGAGCAGGCAAATGGCAAGCAGCAAGCCAAGAATAACAAGTTTATTACTTCTTTCAAGTTTGCCAAGTGGAAAGTCCGTAAGAGGCAGATTATTTTTCTTTCAAATGGTTGAGAAAACAGCAAAGAACTTAAACTTCCATGACCCGTGCTTACAGAAACCTGTATTCTTACATTTATCACGGACACATACTTGAAAAATCCTCTGGTACCTGTGCAGAATTTCATGTGGCAACATGTTTTTGACCATTAGAGAGCCATTCAAAACAAAAATGAAATTGAAAACTCTGAAAGCACAGTATTCATTGTAAAAATTCTGATCTTCCATTTGGAAGGGGAAGAAAAATAAACTCAGTAATTGTTCAAACTGGTCAGTTTTCAATTGGTGGTATCAGTACACACTTGAACGCCACAATACTAATTTTAATTCTCTTCCTCCCCACCCTCAAGTTAGAGTTTAATGTCAGAAAAACTCCACAAACTCCACTTACTGCCATGTAAATTCAGTGCAGAACTACCACTGCACCACATCCACCTATGCAAGAGTTCCTACTCAACGCTAATCCCCTCTGTACTGTGCTATTCCACTGAAAACACCTACGTGGAAAGCTAGTCCACAACATATATGACACTAACCATCCGCCCTTTACCACCCTCACCCTGCAGTTCCCATGTTCTGCTCTGAAGCAAACATCTGGTTGATGAGCACAACTGGAAAGGCAATGGAAGGTGGTTTTTTAATACCCGATACTAAATAAAATGCCACACACCCCCTGCCTCCCCATCCCTCTGCCTTTCCATGAGTCTCTGGATGAAGTGCCCATAATGCCATCTGTGCCCAACTGTTAACAGCTGCTCAAGACAAGCAGCAGCTGGGTGCTCGGCACAGAGGAATATGAAGTCTGTGCATCTCAATACACACCCAGTAAGCCCCTGCACTAGCCAAGTTTACCATTCCAGTAACCACGTAGGGTATTTACTATATCACAAGCTTCTAAGATGCTCTATCAACTCTTTAAATCAAATTATGACATGGCCTTTGGGTTTATTTACCCTTATGTGATTAAAATCAACTATTTAAAATTCACCTTGCTTTTTACTTGAAATTTTATTCAGCTGAAGCCATGAAAGCTCCAAGACTTGAATTAATACCACCTGCACTTACCAAAGAAGCATCAGAATGTCAGCGAATATAAAATCAAGAGGGACAACACACCACTGGGGAGATTAAAGAGCTTCAAACTTGCAAGAAAAATCAAAATGAGATGTTCTCCTTAAAGTCAGGCATCATGAATCAAAGTACGGTGCAGATACTTACAGAATGGAACAACATACAGTGTCCTATTCGGGACTGGATATCCTCAGGTCCAGCATTACAGGAATCCTCTCTCAAAAGTTTCCAAGTCTGACACTGGCAGTCAAAAGCAAACAATCCACTGAACTGAGGCTCACTGGCTCTGCTGTCATCAACGCTGCCGTTGCAGGTCAGAATTCTGCCTCCGAAGGTATATATCATGTGTTTTTCAGAATCCATACACATCTGTAAGAACGAGAGAAGTAGTTTTAAGCCAGCACATTAAGCCTTGAACACGCTAAGATTTAAGGTTTAACACCCCTCCCCTGCAAGTGACACCTAGTAAGACAGTACTCTGCACATCTCCTGAACCTCTACTGAACAGAAACAAATACATGTGTCTTCACAGCTGACAGGTATGAATGTCAGAAAACAGTCCTTTATTTAAAATCTGAGTCTAATTTTAACTTGCTTATTTAATACAAAAGAAAAAGAGCCTACATGCATCCTTCACCATGTAAAAAACTTGCCTCTGGCTGCTGATGTTAGGGAAAAACATTTAGGTTTTTCACCAGGATCCACAGCCAATTCTGTCAAAGTTAACAGAATATAGAATCATAGAATAGTTTGGGTTGGAAGGGACCTTTAAAGGTCATCTAGTCCAACCCCCTGCAATAAGCAGGGACATCTTCAACTAGATGAGGTTGCTCAGAGCCCCGTCCAACCTGACCTTGAATGTTCCCAGGGGTGGGGCATCTACCACCTCTCTGGGCAACCTGTGCCAGGGTTTCACCACCTTCGGCATAAAAAATTTCTTCCTTATGTGTAGTCTAGATCTACTCTCTTTTAGTTTCAAACCATTCCCTCTTGTCCTGTTGCAACAGGCCCTGCTAAAAAAGTTTGCCTTTGACAATGGCTATGCAAGGGAAAAACTCAAAATCACTAATTTACTGACGGCCACTCAACGGATCCAAAACCAGCCTGCGATTTGTTACTCAGATTCCATCCCAAGCATGTATTTACTGTTACCACCATTATTTCAACATAAAGTAGGGCCGTAACCTGGCCAAGGATTTTTGATGAGGCTGCAGCAGAAATACATTTATCGCCAAAGCCTGAATTCAGGTTATGGCATAAGAGATGCATCACAGTACAAATCAAACAAAACTCCCTGACTCCAGGTGATGTTTTCAGAGACAGTGCAACACAGAGGGTTACAAAACACCGGGGGTAAAAAAACCAGACAAGATTACAGTAAGATAGAGGTGCTACTCAGCAATTCCTACACAAAACACTTCTAGTGCAGCACATTTTTGTGAAGGTTAAACAAAAACCACTATCACAGTAGGTACTGAGGGAGAGAGGAGAGAGAGCTGCAGATTGATAAAGAATTCAGGGAGGACATTCTTTCCTAAGAGACAGCAGGGGGAAAAAGAAACAATTTCAGAAGCAGGCAAACAAGGTACCCAAAGTAGCCTTGCCAGCTGACAATTTACTTTTGCCTTTTCCCCAACACCTGGGAGACTGGTATTCGTTATTAATAGAACAGAAAGACTGATTGGCTTTTGTTCTGCAGACAACACGTATCTTTAATTTTCGGTGTCAGCAGAAACGCATATTGTGCTGGCAAACAACAGCTTTAGTTACAAAACAGCTAGTACCAATAAAAGCAGTTCTTGGGCTGCTTTAAAAATGACTACTGATGTGCTGTTTCTCGGCCACACTTTATAAGAATCAATTAAGAACAAAATACCTTTTTCAAGTACACAAAAGCCATTAAACACACAACATAAAAAAATTATTCAGTTTGAATACATGGACAGGTGTGGCTTTTTAAAAGATTAGTAGCCACTCCTCTAAGGTGTTTCAATCTCTACAAAGCAAGCACATTCTACCAATTTTACAAGATAGACAATTTTGAAAGAATCCTGATCCTGTTGGCCTCATTTCAGCAGCTTGCTTACAGTATTCTTCTGAAGGTACCATGCACAGCTTTGCAAGTTGTTCCCCAATGCCCTCTGAGTAGGCAGATCTGCAAACCCAGCTCAACAAGACTGATTAAAAACAGATGAACTGTGCTTTGAACTTTAATAAAATGTGTCTTAATAAAATGAATTAGTTTGCAAAGGTTTTTATGATTCTTCTGACTCGATTTGATTAAAATACCAGTAGTCAGTGGCGTTAGACAAAAATGCTATTAGAATTTAACTGAGTGCAGATCACAGCCTTCCTCATCACTGCTATGTCACCTGGGACAGCACCTCTAAATCACAAGAGGCTACGATCAAAATTGATTCGCAAACATTGAGAACTTGCACTAAGAGTGGCTGACCTGATGATCAAACACCAGCTTTGGACCTCCATCCGCTGCAGTGTCTTCACTTAGTAACATCCATGTGTTTGTGTCAATGTCATAGCGATAGAAGTCACTTTTCAGAGATTTGCTGTTCCTCACGGAGGAATCCAGGTAGCGTCCCAGCGTGTAGATCTGCCTTCGTTGAATGTCAATGCACATCTTGTGACAAGATCTGGCACTAGGACCACTCTAATAAAGAAAATGACCACAAAAACAAAGAGAACAATACATCTAACATTGCTCCAGGTAGGTCATTGCACACTCACTAAAGACAAGTAAGTACTATCAGCAACTGGAAATCCTTTGAGAATTCGAGAAAATGTGCTTGTAATCAGACAAATACAGGATTAATACAGAAATATCTATATAACAGGATATTCCATAACTTGTTTTTTAAAAAGACACCAGCAAAAACCTTAACGCATTTTTACAACAAATTTATGACTTGAAGCCTTTTTGTAAGATTCCTTAGAAAACAGACCGTTTCCTCCAGAAATGATTCTTGGATGCGTGTGAAAGCTACTTGATCTTTTAAAATAACAGAAGTTGATGCACATGAGAGGCAAATTAAGATGTCACAGCCTATAAATAACTACATAGGAAGAAGATTAAGAAGTGCTCTATTACAAGAGCCTCTGTTTTATTAATAGGCTGTTTTCTAACAGTTCATAACCAGACACTCCCACAAGCAATCATATCCCGTAATGGGTCTTTGAAGGTAACAAAAGCACTCCCTTGTCCTTCACAAATAGATATGGCCATTCCAGCCTCCAACGACAAGAAAGTTTCCCACGGTAAGCAAAACTGCCGAGTTATGATCTTCAAGAGAAACACAGAGGGCCCCTGTCAAATTATTATGCGCTTATCCATCCAGGAGTGCTCAACTTAAATCATGCAAGTAATTTATTCAATGACATTACTACGATGCTACACAGTCCTGGGCAGTATCCTTTCTGCTTCCCAAATCTAATTTTGAGAGCCTTCATACACTCATCTTGAAGTGTGAGGGTGGTAATTACTGTACTCCAAAGTACTAGAAATCAAGATGTGCAAAGCCTTATTTGCAAAAGATCAGACAAAAGAAAAAACTGACATCATGCTTATAGATAAATTATATAGTTGATTTGGCCTTAGTTTGTATAATTTTGGCACTTTATAAATGAGGATGCCCAAACAAGGCTGGCTAGCTAACTTTGAGAGTCTGGAAACCAACGAGAAAACTGGTAAGATTTCAAGGGACAAAAAAGGTAAGATGTACAGAAGACTGAAGTATGAAAGAAAAAAATCTGTTCAAATCTATTGAAAAATAAAGATTATGCAATTAGACAAAGATGTAACCTACATCACCATTTATTAGAAGACTTACAGTTAAGGAAAAGTAGTGATGCCACACCAAAAAATCCACACAATATTTGCTCCATGTGCTACCAAATACTGCCTTCACAGAAAACAAATCTTCATAATTGTACCAATTTATGTAAAAAATTATACTGAAATTACTGAAACTTAAAATACACTGATGGAATACATTTCACTAGGTTGGATAAAATATGAAAGGAAACATAACATTTTTGTAGTCAAAACTTTACTATTCATGTTATAGAATTCAATTTCTTGATTAAAGAACAGTTACAGGAAACTGTTTACAGTGACTCGAACAACAATTTGAAGAGGTAAACTGAATTGTTCGTATTTTGTAAATATGAAGCATTATGTCAGCAATGATTATAGCTTTGAGGATTAGTTACTTCATGGTAATTAAGATAATTTTCTTTTCTGAAAAAAATACCGATAGAAGTGAAACATTAGCATAAAATCCTGAAATGCAGCAAAAGTTCATTCATTGCCTTCGGTCACGTGGAAGAAGCTGACAGAGAAGGCGGCAACGTACTTTACCTTGTTCTTACAAAATACAAATCAGTATCTTCTAAAGGACCCAGTTCCAAACACAAAGGGTAGTTTCTTTGCATGAAAAGTACCTATTTGAGTATTCACAAAGGTTGACCCTGATTCATAAGAAAGTAACTTCAGTAGACAAAATCCATCTCTAGTTATGCAGCTGGGACACTTGGGATATGCCATTGTTCCCCTGCCAAAGAGCACATATTTGCCTTGGCACAGCTGCCACGTAGATGAAACGTTAAAACCTACCTGTGCTTTCTGACTCTCCCCTCTTTGTCAGGTCACTGCAGTTTTTTAATTGAACCTGCTGATTTAAGTATCTTCCCCCACTCCCTCACCTCTATAAGCTCTATGGGCTAAAGTAAATCCTACTAAATTTGCACAAATAACGTCTTTGGCACTTTCAGGAATAAATCTCCGATTTATCAATTTCCAGACCTGCCTTGCCTTGAAGAAAAGCTGCATCTTCAACTGAAATTTGCCTAAGTACAGGCATGAGTAAACCACTAGCACCTACAATACCAGTTTCAAGCCACTGGCATCAACAACACAGGTACTACACTGGCTAAGTATACAACATACAAATTTCAACTCCTAAGACTATGTTAAAATGAGAAAAGGATTCAGGAAAAATATCTTCATTCTTGAAATATGTGTTGGTCACATCTCACACAGTAATATTTGCTTTTTTAAAGAGCTACTAAAGGTGTTAAGTTTGACCATTTCATCTATACAGGCACAGAAGCTTCATCACGTCAAGTTCACTTAGGAACTTTACTTTCACCAACTTGCAGAACCTGCCATAGCATGAACTATCTCTCGTAATAAAGAAAACTTCATCCAATTCATAATCTTTTCTCAAAGAAAACTGGAGTTATTCTTGCATATCACTTACAAGATCACATGGAACCTGCCCAAAGTTTCCAATTTAGTCTACATGTTTACCAACATGAGTAAATAACTCCATTAAGCAGTGTTACACATTGGTTTGACATTTGAGGTAGAAGAGGGGAAAGGCCTAAATCTGTGTTCACTTGAGGGCTACTCAATTTGACTACGGAAGTCCTTGTAGTATGTATATACTTCAAAGGGGGACACGAAGTCCATTTACAAAGACAGATATGGGCAGACACTGAAAATGAATAAAACACTTCAAGGCACATGTGGTTAAGTGAATCAAGAGCCCGTGGGCGGTTGCGAATGTTCATCCAAAGACGTGTACTTCATGCGGTTACAATAGCAAGCCTGTTCTTCAGACAAAGAACACACTGCCACAACTTGTCATGGAGAAAGTGACCCACCAAATTCGAACGGGAGTTTGTTGATTCCAGAAGCGTTCAAAGAACTTGAACTCTTATAAGCAAGAAGTGAGAAAAATTGACCAGAATAGACATGACTCTTTTTAACTTACAATTGAAGAGATCAAGTACGGTTAGAGAGCAGGAGAACAACCTTTTGTCCCCTCCTGCCAGGATGCAGGCTGGTTGACGATCCATGAGTTAACGTCCTAAACTGAGTGGATCTCACTAGAGATCTCTATACACTTACTCAAATTTGGGCCTATCACCAAAGATAAACTGCAGACACACAAAAAGTATCTATTGTATTTGCTACTCCTCTAAACATACTAACTGCCATTCCCAAACATATCTGCAGTTAATAAAGACAGTTTCACCTGCACAGTGATAACCACAAGAGAAGATTAAACAAGCCCAAGTCTTCTTGAGCAGAGCAGAAGGCAAATAACAGTTTTGACCAGTTTGCGTTCATCTTCTCCTCTGGTTATCTGAAGCCATAACAAATCAATGCAAGACTTCTCATTAAGTACTTGATCTTTAGATCTAGTTTCATTGAACGGTCTTCAAAATTGTTAGCGTGTGGGATCCACATTTTTGCAGATGAAGCTTCAAGAACCGATTGACTGATTTAGTAGAGGTATTTCTTCCTAAAACAGACTCTAGTAAGTCACATCCAGCAACCGCCCAAACGATCTGAACAAACACCGGCTTTGGGGACTCTTTCCAATTCTCATCAGGAAGCTCCTGGCATGCACACTGCAGAAACCACACGTGAAAGAAGCTTGTGACTAGGCTAAGTTCTTATTCAGATGGCAAGCAATGTGTTACGCTGCTTTGGCCGGTCCCTCCACTTATGCCAAGGCTGTGATAGCAATAGTAAAGCATTAGCATATCACATTTCTAACCTACAAGACACCAAACAATACCAAAGATTACTAAGCATGGGCACTGTTCGGTTTCTGTGGAACTCAATAAGTGCCCACACGGAGCTAAGACTAACCTGAACAAAATGGCTCTCTGCCACCCAGCACCACCGTACAATTAGCACAGCATAATAACGGCTAAGACAGATTAAACAGTATGTGCCATGGCCCCATTTTAAAGTGGTACAAAACACCAAGCTTCTATGCTCTACTCTAATATCCTTCCTCAAACAGGTTGGTCTTGATTCCTCAGGTCTCTAAAATACAGGTAAATGCCCTGACGAAGGTGGGATGGTAGGGAAA